TAAGTTCCAGAAAGCACTGTAAGTAATTTGCCGAGAAACAGATTGCAGATTCTCAAACCTCGGCAATCACTGAATCTAGGAGACTTCAACGTGCACACTGATGCAGGTACGTCAGCAAGTTCGTCTAGCACATACAATGGAGTCCTTATGGATCGATATTTGCTGTGTATCGGAGACACGAATTCAGAATCCTACTAGCATAAGCCAATTGAACGCGCCAATTTTGTCCACGAAGTACGTACTTTGCATATCAGGCGCCGAGAAAGCCCGTTTCCTAGGTCACCGCGAGGTAGATATTGTACTCAGTAACAGGGCTGAGTCCTCTTTTATCGAATGGATCCCCGTCAACAGTCGTTTATGTGCAGTGCGTCTGCGGGTTTCAGTCAGCGTCCGGAAGGGAAGCAACACCAAAGGACACATGCATCGGCTAACAGGCGCACAAAAAAACGAGTACTACGACAAACTAATCAAAACATGCAATTGAGTGGACGCTCCGACATAGTTACGTTTGTAGGTGACTTCAAAGCGCATGTTGGAAAACTGAACGCATCAGAGCCTTGCTCAGGTGGTAGTTGTGCCCTGCCCTACCAGCGAACAGATATCGGAGCATGCGTTGGTTGCGACATCGCACGGTTTTTGGAGGCAGATAGTGGGTGGCAAGAGGCCGAGCCGGGTCAAAACAAGACCTGGCACGAGAGTACGAAATCCCTTACCAGGAAACTCGATTACATAGGTCCCGTCAGGCTTCTTGGACGGGGACCACGGGATAATCGTACCTGGTGGTTAGATACACTGAGTGATATTTTGATGGAAGGCAGTTCAAAGAGAGTCCTGGTTAGCGACCGAAGCAAGAATGGGGCTAATAGGACCAGACGCGCAGACGCAGCAGCGGGAAGTGCCTCGCGAGACAATGTTGACTGCCACTCGAAACGAGCGAATCGACAATTACAGCCTGAAAGACAATCCGCAGCTAACGGGAAAGATACCCACCGAATGCCACAACATCGGAGCTGTCGATCAACGCATCTCGCGCCGCGATCGGGTCAAACCAGTCGGAATGGCACGCGGAAGAAGAGGCAACGTACGTGCCAAGTGCGGACGAAAACCAAGAAGGAATGACCCACAGAAAGAGGCATGAACCATCCAGCCGCGCGGCTGAGAATTGACTGTATATAATCGAACGCATACCCTGTTTGGTTTTGAATTGGATCAATAGACGTTTTCCCAGCTAGCTCGCCTTCTCGTTACAATATGACTATCGCGTAAACATTGGCGTTCGTGCATCTTCTCAATTTCTTTGCAACCTTATTCTTCATTTGTTCTATCATTCCACTTTGAACTTTCCTGCCTTGCTCCTAAGGTAAATCCAAATGGGTGGCCAGAAGACAGCAACTAAGATGGGTGCACCAGATTGCATGATTAATGCTTGTACATGATGAAATCGAAACTGGAATACTTCGGCGAACAGCTCAGGTGGCCTGGCGCCAGTCAGGTTACCTTATCCGCAAATGAGGCTCCATCCGCAGTGACGCGCGATCGTCCGACAGAAGAAGTTGGATATGGCATTCAAGGTCACAAGCGAGAAAAGTCAGTAGGACCAGACGATCTCTCTTCCGCTCTTTTCAAGATGGAGGGTGATAACCTCGTAAGCTCTATTACTGGGTAACCTAGAGGTATCGTGCCCACGAAGAGATCATGGACTTTCTGCGTTTAACAAAGACTGTTGTACCGTGACCTCTTTGGCACAGTCTGAACTCAGGCGTGCGTGAACAATGATGATATGAATGAACTCTATTACCAACCTTTTGTAAAACATTTGGAGACAAGAACTCGCTCCTTCATTTTGGGGTGAATCACTGATAGTTCTCATCTCCCAGAAAGGATATCGCAGGGATTGTGAAAACCACCATGGGGTAAGTTTCATCCCGATCGTCACCAAAATACCAGCCTCAGTTATAATTCGACGTCTGAGTCCGGATTCGGGACTGGCCGCGGATGTACTCATCAAATTTTTACATTGAATTAGCTCCTGACCTGCGTTTGCCAAATTAGTATGTGCTTTGCACCTTCTAAGTGCAGAGTGATGTTACAGGACTGGGTTTCGAGTAGAAGATATCCATCGACTAGAAGTTTTCCATTACGTAGTTCAGCCCAGGTGGGTTAAGCGAACGGGTTGGTAATGTGGAGGTAAACCGTCGTGTGTTTGGGAGCCTATCAGGTATAAACCTGCTAGCACACCGAATGAAAATTAGTAGACTTCGCTGGCTAGGGCACGTATTGCGTATGCCCAGTCATCGTCTGCCGCATGGCGCTTCATTCGCTGTAACTAATCCGGGCTGGAGATGACGCAGGAAGAAATACATACAGCCATTAGGTAAAGTAGGTACCACGCTTCTTCCAGATTCTGGTTCGAAAGACTCCGCAACTGGTTGGTTAGAGACATTGAAGGATATGACAGCGAATGTACAGCAGTGCCGTTCTTGTTGTCATTTCTTATCAGGCCAGAATGCTTGAAACGGTATGTATGCAGAGTTCGATTGTGTACTCTGTGTTGACCATAGAGGTTTACCTTCTTTCTTCTCTCTCAAAGTAGGTCCAATTCATGTTGATCTTAAGTTTTGCCACTAATCTTTGATGCATTGCGAGTTTGGCAGCGACCAATGAAGTTCGCTTCACCGTATTTCGCTATGAGATGATGCCGCATACGTACTGTAGAACTGTTTCATCAATTATTCTGTGTATTTGTCGAAATCATGATCTGTTACGGATGAGACGCTTCGGTCTACGTAACCCTATTTAACTATGTTCGTAGTGTTGTTTTGAATAAACAAATTTCCTCTTTTCGACGTTATCTCGAGGACCGATGACTCATCTTCCAACTGGGATCCTCAATTCTACAAGCAATACCCATTACTCTGAATCAAGGACATCAACAACAAACAACCGCGTGCCATCTATCGTCCGGGTCACAAAAAAATTGCACCGTCATTTTGACCGTTTAACTCGCTTTTTGTCGTGAAATTGTGTATCCACGGTTGTCACACCTCGTTTTCGATCGTGATCTCCGAGTAGCCGGGATTTTTCTGCGCCCCTCAAAACATGTGATTCCACTGATTGCAAGTACCGAAAACTGCATAATTTGGATTACGATTTAGGAGGGAGGCAGAATCACTGAACCACGCATGACTTACTGCGGTGGTGGACGCAGTGAAGATTAAGCAACCATCAATGTCTCAGTAACAACGTTGATCGCGCACGGGCCATGACAACGCAGATGTGTAGGTATATTGCAAGGTAAAAAACCGAGATATGTCATGGGAATTGGGGTGCGTGATCAAGGTACGTCTCACAACGGTCTCCTCTGCGCTTCAGCAGGAGGTAGGAAAATCTGTGCTGAATGCTGGTCATCCATACATCGCTAGAAGGCTTGAACAGTATATGAACATGCAGCGCGATAGAGTTCAACCAAGATCAGCTGTGCCTTAGCAGTAGCGCGCAAGAAACAGTGCCTCACCCTTCGTGCTTATCGAGTCGAGTCCAGCTGAGCTGTCTCGCGCGAATCACACGGCCTCACCGACCCAACGAATCGACATGCGTCAGCAAGGTCGACAACATGAACGACGAAAGTTTGCCTCATTTCAACACAGAAAGAGCGTGTGATGAATTGACCAATGAGGTGCGCTGAAGGGAAGCGGATCCAACTACAGCGTTTTATTTCTCAAATCAAAGTGGTAGCTTCTCAATTCAAATTGATGGTTTCTTAATTCAGGTGACCGTTTCGAAAATCAAATTTATCTCAAAATGGTATAGATAAATGCAATCTTTCAGACAACCAAAGGAGGCGATAAACACAATTCAGGCATGGCTTCGTCACACAACCACAAGAAACACAATTGAACGGACACATCCGATGGATAGAAAATGAAATCTAGAGTGAATGCGGAAAAGAACAAACGAGAACGACCGATCAGTGGGGACGCCAAAAGTGTGTTTGTAGCGTTCTACAGATGTAGCAACAATACAAAATGCACGCAGACAAATCATACCTCTGGTTCTTTTCTATTATCTGGGGAATGTTCCAAATTCGCATCTAGTGGATCCGTGAACGCCTCAGCAGTACTTTTTTCAAACCGAGACCAACATCCATCGGCCATGTGTGAACGAATCCCGGACCAAGACGTCATTGGTTGGCGATTACTAGTCGAGGCGGAAATGCCCACGCGCATATGTACCATNAGAGTATTCAACAAGCGGTACCAAGCAGAAGCCGAGCCCGACTAACGGGAGTGGGGAAATAGAGTCAAGTTAATTTACAGTTACAGTTTATTGAGACGGCGTGTGGTATAAATTATCCGCTCATTCACTCGTAATTCGTAAGTCCAAACCCTGGTAGCGTCAACGAACGTCCCTCTTCAAGACTTTTTCTTATTAGTTCTTAATTCAATTCAAACCTATTCACGACTAGTTACAATGAATATAGTGTATAACATCCTATACTATCAAGTTGAAAGTCTCCAAAACACAACCTATGCAGAAGTGCTCCGGTTTTGTGCCTGAGGAGCTTTACCCGCACATCAGGTTACTACAAAGCGTATTTAGTTGGTGTAGCGCACAGTCGACATTGTAATATATGACAGATACATCACGAAGAGACTGTATCTTGAAGTGGTGTGATGGCTTGTACACCTCTATGACGAAACGAGCTACACAGGATGGCTTTATCAAGCCAGCAAGGTAGAGGTCAGACGAAGATCAGTCTCTTGGTCCCCCAGGTTGGCAGTTCGAGTCGAGTTAACCTCAGTCGGTAGAATGGTAGAGAAGTGTTGGTGGCGCAGTGGTTTAGTCACTGTCACCAGAGTGCTTTGGACCCTATGGTCCGGGCCCCGTCATCGCCACCTGACTTTAGTGGTAGGCAGCTTTGCTGTCGTCCGGTTCAATACCACGCGTAACCTATTGGGGACCTTATGTGGTTCGCCACTCCAAGTACTGGGGCTTAGATTACCGGTTTCCAATAATGAACAGCAGGTCCCCATGACTATGAAGCTCGGCACATCTGTTGTACATCACATTTGGGTTTATTAGGAAAAATGAATCCAAGTAATTGAGCCTCAACTCCGTTTCACACGCTGCCTTCCAATCAGGTTCTCGTTAGAACTAAAGGCTTTGGACGAGAACCCTAATCGGTCTCCTGCTTAGCGGCTGAATACCCTGGCAGTTCTGGCGATCGATAACGCTGCGCACCGGAGCCTCGAACACATGATCCTAATACTATAAGCCACTTAATTCTTCGAGGTACTTCCTCCGCACGTCAGTTGATGATGAAGCCCGTTCAGTAGGACAGCGTGGTGAGGGCATTGTATTCCATAATACAGCAGACACTGCAATACTCGATTGGATCCCCGTCAACGGTCTCTTGCGATTCAGCTGCAAGGGTCTATCGGCGTCCGGAAAAGAAGCAACACCAAAAGTTGGTCTTTCGTTCATCATATCGGCATATGCACCGACCGATTTCGGTTTTAATACACAAAAGGACACTTTCTACGAAGAACTTACTGATCTCATTCGGATGAGTCGAAACTCCGATACAGTTGCTCTTGGTGAATTTAACGCGCAAGTTGGAAAACTGAGCGCATCAGAAGCTTCTCTAGGCGATCGTTGTGCTCTGTCCCGTCAGTGAACAGATAATGGCGATCGACTTTTCAGTTCTGCGCAGATTATCACTTGTTCCTATCCAGTACGAACCTGACACAACTCTCAACGGACATCATCGTGGAGCTCCTGTTCAACTGGTACGCTAACTCAAATTGACCACATAGCAGTAAGCTACCGTTGGCGTGTCTCAGTACAAAATTGCAGATCCTATTGAACCACATGCGTTGAGTCTGATCATGCGTTAGTTTTGATGCAGTTCACTCTCCAGCTCACCAAG